TACCATACCAAGTACGAGGTGCTTATTTAAGACCATATAAAACTTTCTTAAGTTTAAAAACATGGTTAGGAAAACTTTTATGTTCAAAACCGGGAGGTTGTTCTACAAAAACTTCTTCTTTTATAAAACCATTTAGAAAAGCACTTTTAACATCTATTTGAAATAGTTTAAAATTCATAAGACATGCAAAAGCAAGTAAAATTCTAATACATTCTAAACGAACAACCGGTGCATATGTTTCATCATAATCAATACCTTATTCTTGATTATAACCTTGTGCAACTAATATTGTTTTGTTTCTAACAACTTGACTAGATTCATCTAATTTATTTCTAAAAATCCATTTTGTTCCATTGATTGATTTATTTTGAGGTCTAGGTATAAGATCCCAAACATTATTTCTTGTAAATTGGTTAAGTTTATCTTACATAGCAATTATCTAAAATTTATCAAGTAAGGCTTCTTTTATATTTTTAGGTTTAATAGTTGAAATAAAAGCAGTATGAGCAATCAAATTAAAATAAGATCTAGTGGTTACTTTATCAAAAATATTATCAATAATTAAATCATGTGGATGACTTTTAACTTCTACAAAATTCTTTGGTAAATTATTTTGTAAATTTTTATCTTTTAAAGCATCTATCATTGGAGTATCATTGATAGTATCAACTAATTCATCATCATTGTTTGAAACAATAGGTGTTTTTGTAAAAATTTCATCAAAAGAAACATGCATTGATTCTTCAATGACTAAAGTTCTATTATTGAATATTCTATAAGCTTTGCTATGGTTGGAGTATCCAACAAATATTCCTTCGTCAGATTTAGAATCAAATTTATCCAAATTATCCTTTGTGTTTAAAATAAAATATTTACAACCAAAAACTTTGAAATAAAAAACTTTAGGAATTCTATCATAACATAATTCATAAGATGTTTTCTTTAAGATAGGTCTTAATAAAACCCTGTTTAGAACATAACATGCTATAGAAACAGCTTTGCCCAAAAATACTTTGGTAAATTATTATCACATAACATGGTTCTAGCATATTCTTGTAAAGTTCTATTTTTCCTTTCTACAACTTCATTTTGTGGTGCTGCTCCAGGAAAAGAAAAAGTATGAGAAATATCATGTTTATCACAAAAATTTGCAAATAATTCATTTTCAAATTCACCTCCATGATCACTACGTATAGAAATTATAAAAAGAGATTTTTTTATTTTGAATTCTTTTGCAAAATATAGAAAACTCATTAAAAGCATCGTTTTTATGTTTAATAAATATTACCTATGTAAATCTTGAATAATCATCAACAAGAACAAAAACATATCTACTACCATTTAAAGATGCTACTCTTGAAGGACCAAAAAGATCAATATGAATTAATTCTAATGGTCTACTTGTAGAAATTATATTTTTAGATTTTAAAGAAGATTTATTTATTTTTCCTTGTTGACATGCATCACAAAAATTATCTTTATAAGAAAGCTTAGGTAAACCTTTTACAGAATCACTTTTAGAAATATTAGAAATATGTTTAAAATTAACATGTCCAAAATGTTTATGCCATAAAATAGAATCATTAGAAGATACAAGAAGACAATATTCATTAGAAATATTATTCATAGATAATACATATATATTATTTTTTCTATGTCCTTTAAATAATATAGTTAAATATTATTCATAGATAATACATATATATTATTTTTTCTATGTCCTTTAAATAATATAGTTATTAAATCTATGTCATAAATCATATATATTATTTTTTCTATGTCCTTTAAATAATATAGTTATTAAATCTATGTCATAAATCAAGCAAGATTTTTTTTCAAAAACAAATTTAAAACCTTTATCACAAAGTTAACTTATACTAAGCAAATTATGTTTAAGACCATCAACTAATAAAATATTATCAATAAAAGGTTTATTTGGATTACCGACAATTCCAAAACCGACAACTTTTCCTTTGTTGATATCTCCAAAAGTGACGGTACCATCATCCTTATTTTGAAAAGATGACAACAATTATATGTTTCCAGTCATATGTTTGGAACAATCGCTATCCAAAATCTACCTATCTTTCTTGGATACCTAAAATGATAAACATTTATAAATTTGGTACACATGCTATGTTGGGTCTATGATATTAGCCTTTAGGAAACCAAACCCATGAAGAGTTTGATTTGCCTAAATAGTTAGTTGATAAACAAACATTTTTAATATAATCAGAAATATTAAAAAAATTATGTAATGAAGTTAATTCTTTAGGCACCCAAATAGAAAAGAATTTTAATTTCTTTTTACATATATCATCATTTATATTACAAGAAGATTTTACAAAAATGGTTTTCTTAGATATATTTCTATTAACTTGAAAACCTAAACTTTTTGTCTTTTGAGATTCTTTTTGAAAAGAAAGTATTTTATTAAGATTTTCTTTACCTTTATTGAATTTACTAACATTTAAACATATATCATTATATTTTAATTTAATAGAAGAAATATCTTTATCTAAACTATTAATGTGAATATTTAAATTATTACATTCTGATTTTAGATAAACGTTCTCATTGGTTAAACATTGATTTTCTTTAAGCAAGAAATAATTTTTTTCTTTCAAATTAATTTCTTGAGAGTTAGAATTTGTAGATGAATTAAAATCTGAAATTTCTTCAAGTAATCTTTTATTTTCTCCTTTAAGAAAATTATGTGAAGCCTTTAATCTCAAAAAAGTTTCATATAATTCATTAAAATCATCTAAAAGTTCTTCATTGTCACTTACTTCATCTTGTGCCATAAAGCACATATGAGCACTTTCCGTTTCTTCAATTTCTTCATCTGAAGATGAATCATCACTATCATCTTATGTAGCCGCCATAGCTTTTCTTTTCTTGTTTCTTTGAATATTATTGAAGTTGTTGAAAAAATTTGATTTTTGTTTATTCTTTAATAATGGACAGTCTTTCTTCATATGTCCTGGTTTGTTACACTTGAAACAAAGTAAGTTACTTGAATTTGAATTCTTTGATTTAAACTTACCTCGTTTTATAAATTTTCTAAATTTGCGTGCAAACATGCTCATTTCTTCATCATTATCTAAATCTTCTTTATCGGAAGTAGCATTGAATGCAAGCACTTTCTTGTTCTTTGTTTCATCCTCATTCTTTCTATCTTCAATTTGAACTACATAAGCCATAAGATTGCCGATAAGGTTTTCAACCGTAAGAGTTGACAAATCATTTGCTTCTTCAATTGCGGTAACCTTCTTTTCTCATTGTGGAGTAAGTGAATGTAGTATTTTTCTTACCATATCCACTTGAGTATATGTTTTACCAAGACCAATGAGAGAAATAGTGATGTCGGTGAATCTTGTAAACATTTCTCCAATGGTCTTATTTTCCTTCATCTTGAACAATTCAAATCTATGTACAAGAACAAAAATTTTAGATTCTTTAACTTTATTTGTACCTTCATGAGTTACCTCTAGTGTGTGTCAAATATCATAGGCAGATATGACCGTTGACACTCTATTGAACTCATTCTTATCAAGTGCACAGAATAGTGCATTCATGGCTTTGGAGTCCAAGTTTGCATTGTTTCTTTGAAATGTAGTCCATTCTGAGAAAGGGGTTGTTGGCTTCTCATATTTCGTTTCCACAATGTTCCAAAGTTCATAGCCAAGTGATTGGAGATAGATTTTCATTCGGCACTTACAATAGTTGTAGTTCAATCCATCGAACATTAGTGGACGATTTGTAGAATGACCATCTTTGAATTGTGATGTATTTGTTGATATTATCTTTAACCTTACTCTAATACCAAATGTAGGATCTGAAATAGATACATTAGAACACTAGAGGGGGGAGGGAGGTGAATAGTGTTTTTTTAAAAAATTATGCAAAGTAGATTATAAATTGCAAAGAAAAAATGGCAACAATCTTAAAAAATCACAATCACAAACAAGAGTTTTTATACTGGTTCCACCAATCTGGTATATATCCAGTCCCTAAGCAAATCCAGCTTGAGCTTTCCACTATAATTTTGAATCAAGTACAAAATTAAAATCAAATCTGACCAATTTGTAAGTCCCCACAAATTGCAATACCAATTGACAGACCCTTGCCAATTGCACACTGATCTCTAGACCAAGAGATCAACCTCTCTCAAACCGAGAGAACTTTTCTTGAATTAAACAACTCAATTCATATAAGCCTTGATTTGAAGTGTTGTGTAGCAGTGACTTAGGAATACTTTTCACCTCTGGAAATTACCTAAATAATATGTACTTTGAATGATGATCAAAGGCAATTTTAGTAAAGATCTTTTTCTCAAAACTTACTAAAATCTAAAATTTTTGACTTTGGAAAAAATGCACAAAGAATGAAGCTTATAGGTATATAATAATGTCTCATTTTTCTAAACATATAACATTTTTATAGCCCTTGAAAAGATAAGTTTTTAAACTTTAAAAACGTTTAAAAACAGCTATAAACTGTCAATGATTCAAACATTAACGTTCAGAAAAACTGCATTAGTAGTCGACTATAATGCATAGTAATCGGCTACTCTGTAATACAGAAAGTCTGGAATTTTGAAACTAAAACTTAGTAGTCGACTATTCTTCTTAGTAGTTGACTACTCTGTATTACAAAAAGTCTGGAAAACAAAAAACAAATATCAGTAGCCGACTATAATTGTTAGTAGTCGACTACACTACAAAATAAACGTTCTGTAAAATAATTTTCAAAGCTCGGTAGTCGACTATATTTACTTGTAGTCGACTACTCTGTAAAATTGAAGTTCTGTAAATCAAAATTTAAAGCTGAGTAGTCGACTATAATTCTTAGTAGTCGACTACTCTGTAGTTTTACAGAAACTTATATCTTGAACTTAGACTACAATAGTCGACTATTATTCTTATTAGTCGACTATTAAAGAGTAAAAATGTTATGTATGAACTATTTTTAGACTTAATGATAAACTAAAAACTCTAATGGTTAACATAGGGGATTTCTGGCATGTTAAGAGTAAAGCAGGTGACTCTTGGCTATGGAAGCAATTAATCAAGTCTAGAGACTATGCTGTGAACTTACTGGGTGGTGTTGAGAACTTGAAGAATCTAATTAGCTCTTGCTATGTAAACTCCAAAGTCCGCCTCTCTGCTCTGTACAATGCTCTAAAACCAGGTTCAAAGGTAGACCGGCATGATACTGTTTGGGAAAAGTTAAACTATCCCAAGCATTCCTTCATTATGTGGCTGGCCATTCAAGATAAACTCCTTACACAGGATAGATTGCACAAGAGAGGGATCATCCAATCAAATCAGTGTTTGTTGTGTGAAGGTGCAGTAGCTGAGAGCAGGAATCACTTATTTTTTGACTGCAACTTCTCCAATTGTGTGTGGAATGGCATTATGGAGTGGCTTAAATTCAAGTGGAAATCAGTGGATTGACATATGCTCATGAACTGGTATATTTCCAGGTTAAGGGGAAAAGGCAGCAAACAGAGAATTAAAAGACTAGCTCTCACGGCTACAATTTATAACATTTGGAGGGAGAGGAATGCTAGGATCTTCAAGGAGGAATTCAGAAGTGTAGAACAGCTGATCAAGGCCATAAAAGTTGATACTTGGACCATCCTACTTAATAGCTCATTGCCTGATGAAGCTTATAATTGGCTCTTGTAACAGTATCAGGCAAATCAGTTTTGATACTTTTAGTTTCACTGTTTTTCTATTTTCTATTTTAGAATGTTCAGTTTGATACCTCAATGTTTTTGAGAGTCTTGATGTACAAAATGTTTACACTTTGGTGAGTGAAATAATTTTTTTTCATTGACCAAAAAAACATAGGGGATTTCTATTGTTAACCAACACACTAAGCCTGTGTTAGTGTCTTCTAATTTCTATGTGTGTGTGTAAGTGTTCAAGGCTTGTACAAAAATTCTAAGTAAAGATAAATATAAAAAGTACATTGATGTATTTGTTCTTCATCTTCTTTACTTCATAATGGCTTGATGTTGAAAGCTGCAATTAAATGTTAGTGCAAATGTATAACACACATAGTGATTCTCAATATGAATAAATTGTTATCATCAAAATTATATCATGGGGACATGATATCCAACATCCATTTCTCTCAATATATATATATATTATATATATATATATATATATATATAATATATATATATATATATATATATATATATATATATATATATATATATATATAGTGTCTTATTCTCATACACTCATTCAAATTCACAATCACTCTTCAACTCATGTGAATGTGCGGTCCCGATTTTAATGAGTGGAGGCGAATATGTAATCTCACTACCAGCATAAAAACTTGTGCTTGGTACCAAGCATATTCATTTATATATAGGTGTCTTATTCTCATACACTCATTCAATTCACAATCACTCTTCAACTCATGTGAATGTGGTCCCGATTTCAATGATGGAGGGAATATGTAATCTCATACCAAGCATAAAAACATGTGCTGTACCAAGCATATCCATTTATGTTATTATATATATATATATATATATTATATATATAATAAATATATATATATTATATTTATATATATATATATATATTTTCCCAAAACTTTTGGCCCATCAAATTAAATGTTAATTTGGAAATGTTGAGTTTTAAATAATAACTTATTGTTTGCTAAATTACTATTTTTGTCATATAATTAAGGGTTAATTTCACAAGGCTCCCCAAACCTGAGGAGTTACATAATCTTTCTGTTTTGTTTATCTTATATTCTTAGATAATCCCTTTGAACTCTAGGGTGTCTCATAAAACCCTCCAGAACTTTGAACTTTTCTTATCAGACCTTCATGTATGTAATTTGGAAATAATTAAAATGTCATTAAAAATTTTAGATTTGTCATTTCTCATTTATAGACAATGGAATCCTTCTCGTAAAAATCTTATCAGCTCTTTATCCAATTTGGGCATTTTGTATCACAAAGTGGACAATTAAAAATTTTACAAAAATTCCATAAAAAAACATTCCAAATTATACCCCAATTCTACCCAGTGAATTAACGACTCGAAAACAATTTATTCGTATGCAAACTTTTTCATAAACTCCGTTCCCAGTGAATGTATATTCTCTCTCTCCTTAGCCCCTTATCAAATACAACAAAAAACAAAATAAAAAAAACTATATGTTGGGAAGTTTAGACATCAATGTTTAATTTGGTGTACTTAACCCTGCAGCCTAATCAATAGTTAAGATGTCACATATACTAGATATAGGCTATCCTATTCCTGGAAGTGACATGTATATATACTATCAATGATTATAGGGAGTTTTAAATATTTTAATTATTAGAATGGGGAAAATGATTGAGCATTGAGAGGAGAGCAACTAGTTGTTTCCACCTAATCCCTAATTCTAAAAGCCTTTGCCTACTTTCCTCAAGTCTTCTTCTTCTTATATTTTAATCACTGAGTAAGAGACTTTTGAGGATGACTTGTAAAGGATTTAAAACGTGGAAATTGAAAAGGGAAAAAGAAAAGTAATTATAATGTGCTTAATGATTGTCTAGTAACTTTTTTTTGTGTAGAACTTTGTTCTTTAATGTGACCATGAGATATTACATAAATAAAAATAGAGGCAGTACGATTACGATTGGTAAGTGAAGCCATGCTTTCTCTCTTGGATTATAATTGAAGTAATGGAGAAGAGAAGGTCCCATCTGATATTACTAATGATCCAACTTGAATTGTATAGTTATTTTGTTATTGGCCACAAATTCAGTGGCTTAATTTGGGTTTTCATAAATTAACTTCAATCGAAGTAAAGGCTATTCTAGAAATTTATTCATGATAAGACCACATAAGAATGCAGATTTTTGTTTATTTAGCAAATACACACTTTTGTGGGTAAAAAAAAGTCAAAAGAATTTCAGTTGTGGTGTGCCTTTCGATATCAAACTATGCGCAATTAACCCAAAAAGCATTAATGTAATAAGTTCGTGTATTTGTCAGATAACCCCTTCAATTTTA